CTTATCTGGAGGCTCACTGGAGCTGTTTCAATACCACAACCTTAAATATAAAGACCACCAGACTCCAGATGTGAAATGTTTAAACAGCTTTTACAAAAGAATAAGGTTCCAATCATCTGCACCCCCGTGACTGAATCTATATATTTGAAAATGTATTAAATATAGAGCAATACCTACCTTTTATTTACTTTTTATCTTATTTAATTTACAAAAATAACTTTTTAGCACCTCTGTTAATATTGACAAATGAATGTGATGTAGTTATTTTTTAGCATGGCTGAACTCATATTAGCAAAAAAAACATCTAATTTGTGCAATTCTAAGAAAAACTTGATTTGTTTTTTTTCCTTCTTTTTGTGGTAAATTGCGGTGGAAATGATGAGCATGCAACACCTGCATGTTTGTTTTCGATAATAGTTAAAGATTTATGGTTAATTGGCTTTGTTTTTATGGTGATTCACAGTAATTTAATGGTTTGATTTGTTTACTGGTTAAATGTGCATCATCACTGTCATTGTGCATTAATATTAATGTACGTTTTGTCACTAAAAGGACATTTACTGAGCGTCTTATTCATTCACCAACATCACAACTGTCATTTGTTGATATTGTGACCATCACTGGCAGCAATCCTGAAGGCATTTGTGACGTGTTATCATAGATTTCACAGAAATATAAACTATTATTAAATAACATTATTATTAAAACACCTTGTCAGCTTTTACCTTGGAGCAAATTCATCTATGGTTAACCCTGCTTTCAGTCCAGTGCGGCAGTACTCCAGGCCGTTAGCAATGGTGTAGGCTACTTCCAAGATGGCATCGGCGCCGGCCTCCTGAAGATGGTAGCCACTGATGGATATGGAGTTGAACTTAGGCATGTGCTGTGAACATGACCGTGGTAGCAAATCAGTTACACTGTGTTCAACAGCACCAGAAAAAAGGTTTCATTAAACCGGCGCTAGTACATACCTTAGAGGTATATGCAAAGATGTCTGCAATGGCGTGCATGGAAGGTTCCGGGGGGAAAATATAGGTGTTGCGCACCATAAATTCCTTCAAAATATCATTTTGAATCGTGCCAGTTAGTTTCTCTTTTGGAACGCCCTGCTCCTCTCCAGTGACAATAAACATTGCCAACACAGGGATAACTGCTCCATTCATAGTCATTGAAACAGACATCTTCTCCAATGGGATTCCATCAAAGAGCAACTTCATGTCCTCAACTGTATCTATAGCCACTCCAGCCATGCCCACATCTCCGTGGACCCTGGGGTTGTCCGAGTCATAACCACGGTGTGTTGGGAGGTCAAAGGCCACAGAAAGACCCTGCTGACCAGCTGAAACGAGAGGGTCAAAGAGTAGCGTAATAATTATTTCAATGCAAGCTTGGCAGAAATGTGAAAAACTTAGACCACAACAAAACCTACCCTTTATGTTGTCTTTATAGAACTTATTGCTCTCCTCAACAGTGCTGAATCCAGCATACTGCCTGATAGTCCAAGGTCTGTATGTGTACATGGTGGGATAGGGCCCTCTAGTGTAAGGAAACACTCCTGGCAGTTCATCAGCAACATCTTTTGAGTCTGTTTTGGTGTACACGGGCTTGATTTTAATCCCCTCAGGAGTGTGCCAGATCAGATCTTCTGGATTCTTCCCCTTCAGCTGTTTCTTAGCCAGACCGGCCCATTCAGAATGCAGCTCAGCGCGGTCCTGACAGAGTACTGAAGTATGGATCAGAGAGCAGTGTGTGAGGGATGAGGAGACTGAAGTTCTAACCAGGTGCCGGGCAGCCCTCTGTGCGGTCAGCATGCTTACTGTTGGCTTAATCACTCACACATGGAAAAACCTGGAGGCAGAAGAGAAAAAGCTGCTCAAATCAGCAGTTGTAGTAAGTTGGAACAATCTGGCAATTTCCAGTTAATGACTAATTAAATCTGTTTGACAGTTTAATACAAAACACAGCAGCAAGTGTCACATGATAAACTATAAATTTAAAGCTTACATGCAATATTTTGCATGCATTGCTAGAGTTGCCTGTTTCATATCCTAAAGTGTTTTTGAAAGCAAATTAAATGATAATAAATCCATGTACTCAAACTTTATAGCAGATTGTAAGTGCAGGTTAGGTAGTCTGCAGTGATGTGGTTAAGTTTACAGAGATGGGCCGTGTTGGACGGTTGCAGGGCAGACCGAGGTACGTGGTCACGGCTAGCTTTGGTGCTGGGTACCAGCAGAGACATTTACAAGAGAGAGATATGGCACTTAGTTCTAAAATGTGATTTATAAGATCATTTATATTTTAGATTGAAAGTTGTTGGTAGAAGCATACCTACCAGAGGAGACGCTTTTAAAATCTTATGTGTGCAAAGTTTGCAAACTTTTATGCAGATTGAATCAGATTTGACTGAATATTCTGCACATCAAATTTTAATGGTTTGTTGACCTTTAAAATGCATTTCAATGTGACTAAATCAAGTTAAGTAACAGGCGGTGGACACCTGCTCTTTGATGGCGTATTTCAACTTGCAGCTTATAAAAAATTAAAAGAGAAGATGCTAACTAGTTATTAGCATAGTGGTAAAGAAACAAACTGAACAAATACATGACTACATCACACTTTATCAAATTACAAAACCACGCGCTGTTTAAGTCGCTGTGGT